ATCTATCTATCTATCTATCTATCTATCTATCTATCTATCTATCTATCTATCTATCTATCTATCTATCTATCTATCTATCTATCTATCTATAGTGTATATTGTGTTTTTTGAACTTAAGACAGCTGGCAGCTTAGACACATCCAAAAATGTTATAGGATGCTATTTTACATAAAGAGAAAAACGGAATGATCGGGCACAACTGCTCACATTAATAACAATGTGGTGTAATAAAAGTCTAAAAAAACAACAATAATTTAAAAAAACTTCCTTTCATACTGTCTCTGGCTTTTTTATGGCACAGGTACAGGTTCATCCAATGCTAAAGCACTGTTAAGGTGTCACACTAAACAATACAAAAGTATGGCAAGACAGATCTGAAGTGCTTTGGTTCCTATATTTGCACGCCTGGTTTAATTTGACTACAGTTTAAGGAACTGTAGTGGTTAAAACTTAAAGTGGGAATGTGACTTCTCTAGCGAAATAATTTTACATGATTTACATGACTGAACCTAAAACAACAGGAAACTTATTTCCTTTTCAGCACCAGCAGTCAAACTGCTGTGCATCCTGTTTAGCCTTGCGGGCAAATGCACTGAAAAAGTAAAAGACAGATATCACATTAGGATTTACTTTGTGTGTGTGTGTGTGTGTGTGTGTGTGAATGTTTACTCTTTTGAAGTATTTTTAAATGTCACTGTTATTTGTCACGCTTTGTTCCCCTTACTTTAATAATGACAGTGACATGCTACTTGAACTCCTGCCTTTTGTTGTGTTAAGAACAGCGAATTCATGATGTAGAATTTCATTTACTGATACAGCAACAAACTACTTCTTTTGCTAATTTTGGACAGGCAGGCCGCTGGATTTCCACAGACAAAGCAGCTTCATTGCTCAGTTGTGTTTCTCAACAGGAAAAACATTTACTTTGAACAATAAGTAGCTGTAACCCGAACTGTTAGATCAGCGCTCGCAGCATTTGTACACAAGCATGGACCAATCTGTTGTAATCTCTGAGGCAAAGTAATGTAAACTAATGGGATCAATACGAGAGTGTGTGAGACAGAGTGGGCTGTGCCAGAGCTGAAAAAGCAGAGAGTCAATTACTGAACTTATGAAAATTGGCATACGTGCCCAATAAGGATACATTAAAGTAATTACAAAGCAGTTCTGCTTAAAACTGAGCTGCGTCCTGCTGGAAGAGACACGTCTGAGCCACTTCCCAGTGCTTCGTGGTTTTTGTGTCTTCTTCTGTTTTTTTCCCCCCTTTTTTAAAAATCAATTGGCATGCACAGAAAATAGACAAAAAACTAATATTGTAATTGAGCCGGACAGTTGCATTACTGCCTGATTACATCACTTGAAAACAAGAAAAATCTAAGCTTGAGATGACGTTTAAAACCTCAATATGACATATGCTTTTAATATTCAAAGATGAACATTGTTAAGTATTAAACTTAGAACATGAGTGTCAAACATAAGGCCCAGGGGCCAGAACCTGCTGGATGGCTTTGGAAAATGTTAAGAGGGGCATAAATCTTTGGACTTAACTGTATTTTTATGTTTTTTTACAGCTTTTTCTGTTCCCCCATAGCCATTCATACTACATTAAAGTGGATAAGTAATGGATAAACAATTGAATGACTGAAAGGTTCCTGGTTTTTTTTCTGTCTACCATCGAAATTTAGGTAAAAATAAGAAAATTTTCATCAATCAACAAAAGCCTTCGGTTTTATAAATGTGGGGGAGTCTGGGCAGTGAGCTACCAGAGCTTTTTTTGTAATTTTGCACATTTATCATATAGAAAAATAGATGTGCTGTTGACCTTACACTTCTTTATTTTATGTTAAGAAAACTCAGCGATTAAATGTGTAGTTAAACGTCTTTACATGGATAAAAAGTGGAATTTCACTCAGCCTGCTTAAGATCAAAACAGTCTGTATGTGTCCCTCGATGTAAAATGAGTTTGACATCCCTGACTTAACAGAAGCAATGATAGCAGTGAATCTGTCAAATAACATTAAGAAAAGTCTAGATGTGTCAATGATTTTC